AATTAAGGTATTTTATCTCCTCTCTCATGATAGGGACCAATATTAAATTCAAATACAGGTGCTGAAGCCATAATATCATAGTAATGTTTTCACGGAAATCCAGCCAATGTTTGTTTCTATTCAAGAACTATTTGTGTGCTTGATATTGTCAGCATATTGATTTTTAAATGCACTAGCTGGATCAGTGGCCATAAGCAATAATACTGAAACTTTCCATTTATAGGGGTCCTATTCAGCTAATGGGTTTCATCCCATATCGGTCTGGTGTCACCACTGCCTGTATCAAAAACCTGGATTTCATACTTTACCACATCAGCTCTAAATTCTATCAGACATTTAGGGCTGTACCTGGAACATGCATGCTGACCCCTAATGCGTACCTGCTATATGTCCTGTGAGCGCAGGGCAGCCTTCAGGCTCCTGGAGCTGTTTTGCCCACATTTGTAGAACCGAAACCAGTGACTGTCCAGTGGGGCATGTGAAAGCCCACCTCCCTTGGACAACTCTGAGACCTAACTTACTTTGAGCCCCACTGCAGCCTCGGGCTGAGGCCTACCCTTTGCCAACTTCTGTTTGAGCTCAGACCCTTGTCTGGCTTCCTCTGCTTCCCTGTCCTGCTTCCCAGCTCTCTTGACGGTTTCCAGGAGAACATTTTCTTAAGAAAAAACTTGGCCCAGGGGCGCCTGGGTGGCTCAGTCAGTTAAGCATCTGACTTCAGCTCAGGTCATGATCTCAGGGTCCCGGGATGGAGCCCTACATCGGGCTCCCCACTCAGTGAGCAATCTGCTTCTCCCTCTCCTGGCCCTTCCCCCACTCATGCTCTCTCTGTCTCTCAAATAAATAAATAAAATCTTAAAAAGAAAGAAAGGAAGGAAAAGGAAGGAAGGAAGGAAGGAAGGAAGGAAGGAAGGAAGGAAGGAAGGAAGGAAGGAAGGAAACGAACTTGGTACAAATCCTTGACTCGGTGCCTGATTCCTGGTCTTGGGATCTTCTTCTGGAGAACCTGACCTTAAATCCCCTCTGACCAGGAAGCTCACCTTCCTCCTTGCTGCTGCCTCAGAGGCTTCCAAACGACTGCTATTGCCCTCATCCAGAAATACCCTCCACTTCCCCTGCCGCTCTGCCTGGGATAGGGTGCATAACAATCAAAAGAGATATTATAAGTGAAAACATACCTAAACTTTTAAAATGCCCTACAAATGGAAATCACTTGTGGTAATGATCTATCTCACCCATCCTTCCTTATCTGGATCTCCATGAAGGGGGACCCCACTCTCCCTGCCACATTTCTCACCTACAGCGTAAGCTCCATGAAGGCAAAGATTTGGTCTATTCACTGTTGGAGCCTCAGCATCTATACTGGTGTATAGCACACAGGATGTATTTATGCATTTAGCAAATATGCATTAAGCAATGTTGCTAAACTCCAGGAGTTCACTCTTCTTAGCCCTTCAGGAATTGAGGGGCTAAAAGCCATGTTAAAAATCATCTAGAGTACCTATAGCCCGGAGAGGATAAATAACTTACCTAATGTACAAAATAACTTCGTGGCAGAGCCTTGATCTCTTATCTCCCAGGCCTGACAACTTTCCATCTGAGACTCCAACTTGAGGCCCTGCGTCTTCCTTAGATGGGCAGCCGCAGAGGAAAATGGCAGCCCCTTCTCCTTCAGCCAAGCTACTAGCATCTGGGCCGTTCAACTCAACAATGCGCTATCTTGTTATAAAGGTGCACCAAGATTTTTAGCACCGCAGTTGTGGGTGTTGTTTTCATCTCTCCAACTAAACCTGAAGCTTCCTGGTGGCAAGGACTTCACTGAATTCACCTCCCATATAGTCCCCAGGACCGTGCACAGGGCTGAGCCCAGACATCGGGAGGAGGAGGTGGACACAGGGGAAGAGCGCAGACACTGGAGTCACACAGACCTGGCACCAACTCCAGCGCTATACCTGTGTGACCTTGAAAAAGGTGCCAAACTTCTGGCACCTTGCAGAGTACTTCCCGAGTGATAATAGCCCCTGAGTCCCAGGATCACTGGAAGGACTCCATGAGACGATATACGTAAAGCATCCCACACTCAGGAAGCATAACCAGCAGTTAAAAGTAATAGTAGTGGGAGTGGGAGTGGGAGTAAAACCAGGCTCCAGAAACACCAACTACCAAGTAGCTTCGACAGGCAAAGATCAGAGACGTGGGTTGAGAGAAGCCCCCGCTTATGAGTGCCTATTAACTAAGATAACATATCAGGAGTCTCCTTTTCCCTATAAAAGTAAGATGGTGGGGCGCCTGGGTGGCTCAGTCGTTAAGCATCTGCCTTCGGTTCAGGTTGGGATCGAGCCCCGCATCGGGCTCCCTGCTCGGCGGGAAGCCTGCTTCTCCCTCTCCCACTCCCCCTGCTTGTGTTCCCTCTCTTGCCGTGTCTCTCTCTGTCAAATAAATAAGTAAAATCTTTAAAATATAAAGAAAAGGAAGGAAAGGAAAGGAAAGAGGAAAGGAAAGAGGAAAGGAAAGAGGAAAGGAAAGAGGAAAGGAAAGAGGAAAGGAAAGGAAAGGAAAGGAAAGGAAAGGAAAGGAAAGGAAAGGAAAGGGGAACCGGAGCCCAACAGTGTCAGAGATCGCCAGCGCCGGGATCCCAGCTCTGCTACTTTCTCATTGTGTAACTGGGGGCAAATTCTTCCCTCTCTGCCTTACCCACGTCACCTTTAGAATGAGGACAATAATACCTACCAATCAGACATGTCGGAATGAAATGAAAACCCACTGAAGTCTTTAGAACAGTGCTTGCCACATACTCATAAATGTTCACTGATACTCTTTTACAACTTATAAAAATAGCCACTCTCAAATCTAGGATGGCTATTTGGCCACTAACATGACAAAGAGCTAAGCTCTTCGACAGGCGGAGTGAAATGTTCAGAACTATTTCTCTGCCACAGCAAGACTGTTTTTTTTTTTCGGCACAGGCCAAGCCAGCTGAAATCTCTGCTTCCAGGGAAAATGTAAAGACTCTCCTGCAGTGGCCATGAGTTCCATTTGATAACTCAAACTCAAAGAAGACTCTAGCTCCAAGAGCATCCTGAGAGCTGGGTCAGCAGGGAAGTGCAGGAGGCCCCTAGCACAGGGTAGGACCTGCTGCAGAGGCTGACCCCAGAGCTCCCAGTGAGGCAGCCCATGGCAGAGCATTCGAGGTCAGTGCAGGTTCTAGAACCAAAGAACAGTCAAATCAGTGGGCAGGACAGAGCAAGGGAAATCCCAACAACTGGCAACATCTGAAATCTGAGATGGTGACAAGGTGGCCCTGGGTGATCTGTCACTGACAGCAAGATTCTCAGCCTGTGGTCCAGGCTGTGAAGGAGGGACCAGCTCTCAGAGGAGGTGGCTGCCTACAGTTAGTCAGGATTTCCTAGGCAAGTGCATTTGGATTAAGAACAGTCCTAGCAGGAAGCATGGCAGTACGCACATATGTCAAGACAAAAATACTTTCAAGTTACCCTAGCTAATATGACAGATGAGTGGGAGAAAGTATACAAAGGGAGAAAAAGGGAAAGGGAATGATAAAACCCAGAGACCATGAGTCACTCGGGGCTCACCCCTGGCATGCCAGAAGCCAAGTCTACAGCAACAAAGGCTTGATCCCAAGCTCCTCCAACAGTGCTACTTCCTTTCACAGTGGATCTGTTGACCCAGCTGTGGGCACCTGTACAGAGCAAAGGCAGGGAAAATGACAGAGTAGGGCCAGAAGGCAAACCCAAGACCAAAACATTATCAGAGGCAAGCATTCCAGGCTAAGTCAAGGACATAAGTGTCCATATGTAGGTTTCATCCTGTGAGCCCAGCACTTCAGATGAAAGTAATCAACAGAAGGTTTATCAGGGATGTGGGGTGACACATGGGGCACAATTCTATTTAGGGTTAAGTCTTTCCTGGAGAAGGTGACTAAGTGGCAGCTAACCTGAGTATATTTTCTTTATCTGTAGCGTTTCCTCTCAGCCACCAAATCCAGAGGACAAATGCCAAAGGCCTCTAGAGGGTTAATCCCTGGATAATGACCTAGAGACTCACAGTGATCTTTCTCCACTGCACATCTTAAAGCATAAATCCATCCCCTAACACTCCAGACTTTCCTCTTCCCAAGTCTCTCAACCAGAGCTAGGATCTCAGCCCCGACCCCTCCTAGCCGCAACATGGCTATGAGCCGTGAACTTGACATTCAGGGGCCATACCAATCTTTGGGGCCTCGGTCCACCGAACTGCTCCAGGGCAGTGGGAAGGAAAGAGCCAGCAGCACTCACAGCACCAGAAAAAAAAAAAAAAAAAGACTTGAGACTTTTTCCCATACCAGTGACAACTCCAGGGATTCCCAGGCTGAGCAACAGAAAGTAGGGGGTCTGACTGCCACAAAATGCAGGCAAGTCACCTACTTCTGGCCGTGTCCTTGATGAAGTCAATGTCTAAGACTCAGTTTCTCATCTGTAGCACGAAGAGGCAAAACCAGGTGACCACCAAAGTCACCTCCAAACCAGGATTCTATGATCTATGACTCCCTGATGAACGAGACCGAAGCAGTCCAACATCTGTCCAGCTCAAGGAACCAGGCCACATTCTCTGCCAGGGAGGGGCCCCAGACTGGAAGAACAGGAGTGGTCATGAGGCCACAGCCATAACAAGGTTGGTGAAAGACAGCAAGCCATACCCTGGAGCCCGGAACAAGCCGGGCCAGCCTCTCCTGGACTTCTGCGAGTGTTCAATTCCTGAGTGCAAGAAAAGATACCAGATTCCCAGGGGCAGGAGAGATGAGCTTCCTTTTCCTCAAGCTAACATCTGGGATGGTTCCCTGTGTGTGTATATGTGTTTGATGGGGGTTTTTTCCCCTCCTCACTGACTACCAGTTTGATGCTGCCCACAGGAGCTGAAGCCCTTGAGGCTAATCCCACTGGCATTCCTCCCAGGCCAGCCACCCCCCCGCCCCCCTGCCGCCACCTTCCCATGCAGCCTCTCACCTGGGGGTTGTCCATGTACCAGAGAAGGCAGTTGGCCTGGGTGTCCAGAATAAAGTACCTCCGTAGAAACTTGCCACTGTTCTCATTCTCCTCGATGTCCAGAAACCCACAGATTCGGTTCTGTCGATCCACATAAGGCATTCCTGGGCTCTGCTCACATCACCCTGCGTGGCAGGAGGAAGGGAGGTGATGAGGAGGAAGGTGAATCTCATCCTGCCTCAGGACCTGTAAGAACTTCACTCTGGCTTGACTCACCTCTGTGAGAAGCTAGGCTCTCTCTCTCATCGGCCCTCCTTCCCCAGAGCACCAATTGTTCCACCCCAACCAGACCCTGGAAACCTCTCTCAATTCTGTTCCACACACAGCCAGCAAAATGCATGAGCAGGTACTCAACTAAGTTTCCTGAGGCGCTACTGTGTGCCAAGCAGAGCCTCGGGCAACTTTACATATAAAGAGGAAATAAGCCGAGATCAGGGACCTGGGTTCTAATTCCAGTTTTAGCCCCTTAATAAGTGTGTGACTGCAAGCTATCATCTTCCTGAGCTTCAGTTTCTGCACCTGTAAAACAGGGATAATAGTGGTACCTACACCTCCTAAGATTTTGGTGAGAATTAAGTGCCTGGCACACATTAAACATTTCATAAACCACTAGGTATTTTTATTGCCCTTCACAAAAGCCTTGTAAAGTAAGCCATAACCCAATTTTATACATAAAGAAACTCAGAAAATATTTAAGGTCCAACTCAAATACTCATATAAAACGTTGCCAGGAATTCAGTCATCAAGAGCAAACCCTCTAGCTCCATGAAGGAATTAAATCTGAGGGCCACATCCCTCAGCCCTAGCTTCACTCACTTCACTCTGCTGTTACCCAAAGGCCACTTATGACTGGAAGAATGAGGAATGAGAAGGCCCCAACCAATGAACACCTTCACTGGCTCCAACAGGGTCTCTGAGGATGACAGACAAGCTTCACCTTCAATCCAGCCTCCTTTCTCCACGTGATTTCCTTCTGACTCTCTGGAGAGCCAGACGAAGGGCAGGGGCTCTATTCTCCTCCCCAAGGAGGATGAGCACCTTCCAATAAGCAGTTACACCCAACCTGGATCACAGCACAGGGCACAGGTAGAACACCCCCACCAGGGTCAGAAAACACCACATGACATTCTGACTTTCAAGGACAGACACCACCCACCACTGGGCCCCGCTTGGCTTCAACAAGCAAAACTCACTGTGACCCAAGCCCACCAAGGCCCTAAGCAAAGTGGGGAGCCGGCTGGCTTGAGGCCATGCGTGCACCACAACGCTGGGTCAGCAAGGAAGCTACCAAGATGCCACACCCAGAGTCGTCCAGGCCCAAGGCAGGTCAGTCCCACATTCCCACAAGATTAGGCTCACTTGGGCGCCTGGGTGGCTCAGTTGGTTGGGCGACTGCCTTCGGCTCAGGTCATGATCCCGGAGTCCCGGGATCGGGTCCCGCATCGGGCTCCCTGCTCGGTGGGGAGTCTGCTTCTCCCTCTCACCCTACCCCCTCTTGTGCTCTCTCTCTCTCTGTCTCAAATAAATAAAATAAAGTCTTAAAAAAAAAAAAGATTAGGCTCACTCAAAGGGTGGCAACTGGTGGCATGGTCTGTTCTCTCCCACCCCCATGGGGGCCTGGCAGTGTGGAGGGGCAGACCCAAGAAAAAGTGCCCCCCCAACACTCATGTGAGTGTGTGCAAGCCCACGTGTGCACACGCACACACACAAAGATACCAGGGAACAAAAAATCCTTGACTGCAGGTTAAGATCAGGCCAGATTCCTGATGGGGACAGATGACAGTCAGAAGGGACATGGGTCAGGGGCCCATGGCTACTTGCTGGTAACGGTGGCGGCCAAAAGAATACAGCCGGCAGAGAAATGGGACAAAGGTGAAAAAGCACAGCTAAAAGGAAGGAAAGAAGGAAAAGAGAAGGTGAGAAAGGACAAAACCTGGGAAGATGGTGGAGAAGGAAGTAGCAATATGAAGGAAGTGGAGAACCACGGCGGCAAGGAGCATCTTGGCGGTCACAGGTGGCACAGCCGGACCCCTGCTCTCCCGGTGCTTTCCCAGCGAACCCTCCATCCCAGCTGCAGTTCCACAGCCAGGCAAGCGTGAGGTCCGGAAAGGGGAAGGGTGGGCTGGAGTCAAGAGTCAGGAACAAGCACCAGGGGAGGAATTTCAAGTCTTCTAGCAGACACTGGGTCAAAGACAGGAAGGCAGGAGGCCTGGCTTTGGCTGGGAAGGAGCATACCCCTGAGAAAGGATGCAGCTTCCCCCCAGAGAATCAGAAGGAAATCGGAGTCCCATGCAGAAAGGCTGGGATGTCCAAAGCATCCCATGCACGGTCCTGTGCACAGCCGCCCAGTTGGGATGAGGGAGCTCACCCAAACCCCAAGAAAACCAAGCAAATTCCCTTGATGCCAGCCCAGCCACAGAGACAGAATTTCCAGAAGTTTCAGGACTGCTAACACTCCTAGGACATCTCTAAGAGAAAGCATATAAACTGCAGGGGGGGTAACCAAGCCGACTGTCTTTAGACCCAGCTGGTAAGCATGGCATCCAGCTTACTGCTGCCTTTCAAATGTTCCCTTTTCAGCCTACAGGATTGATCAGTGCCAGCCTTTTTGTCAGGTCACAGGCCAGAGAAGGCACTGTCTACAATCCTCCAACAGGCTGCTTTTGTGCAGGGGGCTCCCCACCTCCATGGGAAAAAGGAAGGAGAACAAAAAGAATTTTGGTTACTTCTCCTGACTGTGGTTCTATCGCCAGAAAAAAAAGCTGCTCGGATGTCCTGGGAAGCAGCTGAGTCACGGAGCTCATCAAGAATGTGGGAGGCAGGGGAGAAGCATGGGCTGCAGGAGAACCAAGCATCACAGGGAAATGCTGTTATGCCTAGCCGGCCCACACAGAAGCAACATACTCAAAGATGGCGCACCAAACACAAACCTGACGTCCTAACCCCCAATCCTCTGTCAGTTCATTCTGACCCCACTTTTCATCCCTTATCAGAAGAGAGGCTAAGGTTTGGTACAGGGAGCCTGCTTCTCCCGACCCCCCAACCCCCTCTCTCTGCTCTTCAACCTGCCGCCACCATCCTCCAAGGCCCCCTGGCTCCTCCTCTTTTTCCTGGAAAGGCCCCCCTAATCCAGTGATCTCTGCCACCCCATGCCCAGCCCCAACAACTGGGCAGTGAGGGGAGAAAGGGAAGTGCTAGTAATTGAGTCATAAGGGAAGAGAAACACCTTGATGCACACATACATACTGTCACCCCAAATTCCCCTACTAAGACCCAGGCAAATATTTGTACCATTCTTTCTACATCCCTCCAATTAGTTTTAGCCTGTTTTCTGACTCTTTAAAATCCCTTGTTATCTTAAATTTCATTTTAATCCAAGTTTCCCACTGTAAAACTATTGAGTGGAGGGTGACATAGGTGCTCTATCCCAGGACTTGCCCCCAACCCATGTCCTAGGCCCCATACCCTGACAATGACTCTCTCCCCATCTCCTGGGACAACATGGTGAGTGTTCTCACTGGGGTGCAGCATCAGATACCCCTCTCCCAGGCGAGCCCCTTCACCTCTGCTCTAAGAGCATAATGAAACCTCCTAGCAAGTAGCTGCAGAGTCTTCACAACACACTGGTGACAAAGAACACAGAAGATCTGTGCAGGAAAGGACCTTGGTCCACCCAACTCAGTACCCGCTTTCCAAAGTTTGCCAAACCTCCCTAGAATTTTCCTTATACTGTGATTTCTCCCAGAAATCACAGTATAAGGATGCTGGAATTTTTTAAAAATTCACTCTAGCCAATCGTTTTCATTTTTGCATGCTTTTTCATGCCCCTCTCCACTTAATTGGCCTTTTAAAATTTTTAAATTATATCATAAACATGTTCCATGTTGCTACATAGTCTTTATAATCATTGCTTTTAATGGTTGCATAACATTACTGAACTGCATTTACTATAATTTACTCAACCATTTCTCTATGATTAGACAGACTATATTCAACTTTTCACTATTATAAATGTTATGAAAATTCTTATTTTCATGCTTTGTTTCTTCTTTCATATGGAAACAGCATACACAAATTCCAAGCAACAATATGACTAGAGCATAGGTAATGATCTTTTACAATTCTTGAGACCTATTACAAAACTGCTTACTAAAAGCATTGTCTGTTTACTTTGCAGTCAGCAATATATTGTTACCATCTCTATAATCTTGTATACATTGAATGTTCTCATTTCCAACTGTTGCTAGTTTTAAATATATAATGATGCCTACTGAGGCTGAATGTTTTTTCACGTTTGCTTCCTGCTTCATCTTCCTTCCTGGATCTTGTAAAATGCAATTCAAATTACGTGCACATACAGTAATGCGTTCGTTCTCTCTCTCTCTCTCTCTCTCTCTCTCTCTCTCTCTCACACACACACACACACACACACACGCTCATCAAACCAAACCAAAACATGGCCTCACATAATCTAAATAACTGAAGAATGTATTTTAATGAAGAGTAAAATAGAAAAGAGCAAAGTTTTTTTTTTTTTAAGATTTTATTTATTTACTTGACAGAGAGAGACACAGCGAAAGAGGGAACACAAGCAGGGGGAGTGGGAGAGGGAGAAGCAGGCCTTCCGAGGAGCAGGGAACCTGATGCGGGGCTCGATCCCAGGACCCTGGGATCATGACCCGAGCCGAAGGCAGACGCGCAATGACTGAGCCTCCCAGGCGCCCCAGAAAAAACAAAAGCCTTATATGATTCAAATTTCTTCAGTGTATAAGTTCCTAAGTATGTACTGCGCTTGAAAATATGTTAAATATTTAATTTATGGTAAAAGGGAGACTTTGAGCAAAAAGTGAGTTTGCACTGAGTTACCAACTGATCAGCAGCAGAAAATGGGTTAAATGTCAATTAAACCAAGATTCCCAGCCAACATTTGCCAGTTGACCAGATGAAGCTCATGAGAAGAGTTAAGGGCTTCCCACCTTAGAATGAGATGAAGGGCACTGGGAGACATCTGTCCAAAATAAATCCTTGACTACCATTTCAATGTCTTAGGTTCCATTATTGGAGAAGATTTAAGCCAAGAAAAAAAATAATAAAACTGTCCCCTAGGAATTGAGGCAATTGACAA